TCAGGCATCTTACCAAAAACCCATTCGAAAAACCTGAAAAACCTGTCCTGGAGCACTCTATATTTAAACTTAGTATATATAGACTCACTCATGAACATTTTCTTTCTGACTGGTGAGACTTATAAAGCTGTTGTTAATGAGACAAACTGTCTTGGTCCTCATCTATCATGGCCAGCAGACTCTGACTTACTGTACATCTGGAAGGTCAAAGCTATAACTGAGTCCTGAATACTTTACTTGCATACTCATAAGGTGTGCAAATGTGCAATAGCATATACACCTACTGTGTATTTTGTTTAGATATTGGCCATAAAGCTACAGCTTGTAAAATACAATTGCCATATTTGCTGACATACAGTAGAAGCAATGTGAAGAGGCGGATGAACATTTTTTCTTTCACATCATCTTTCTCATGTATTACTGCATGTATAAAGTGACAGTTTTGTCCAATGGACAAAAAGTTACCAACTACAGCTTTAGTACAGATTGAGTACTTATGACAGCAGAGAACAGTGTTATTTAGCATAAACCCTCCCTCTGGCTCAATCGTTTTATTTTCAGTAAGGGACTGGGTGACCTCTATTCTGAGTCAGTATCCAGCCAATGTGACTGGTTTAGAAAGAACTTAGGAAACAAAGTGGTTTTATGATTTAGAAGTATTTATAGAGAAAATGAAAATTGTACTAAATAAGTTTTTGGTGTAATAAAGAGAAATGCTGAATTCGAATTAACTTTTGGATGAATCAGTAATAGCAGAGAGAACTTGATGTGTGTGTCAGATCAAGGTGGTTTGTAGTAATTACATTATAATGAGTGCAGTTACATTATTTGAGTGATCTGAGTGGAAGCAAATGAAAAGTTTTGGAGTTTCAGAAACTGACCCCTTGATTGCTCTGACATATTTCTTTCAGCTTTAGGAGAGAGCCTGGACTGAACTAGATTCGTATAAATAATTCTGCTTCTGGAGTGTATTTTTCTTCTGAACACATGACCCAGTCATTTAGTGTCTGCTTTCATCACTTCTCTCTCACACACGAAACCGCTCACCCTTCTTTACCTATGAAGTAAACATGCACTAAGATGCTTTGGGACACGGGGATTTTTGGAAGTTTTTATCAGGGTTTTAATTAACTCTTCTCTTTCTTCAGATAAAATAGCATTGGAGGGAGTGGTGGTGCAGAGAGCAGAGTGCAGACCTGCTGTTAGTGAAAACTACATGAGGCTGAAGAGGTGAGTATGTTCAAAATGGTGTGCACACACAAGGTAGTATGTTGAGAACAAGAACCTGCATTCCACTTGCAAGGTTAGATGCATGAATGTAGATTGTTATGTTACGTCCACATTATTGTATGTGTATGTCTTAAACAGCTTAATGTCATTGTTACATGTGTGGTGCATGTTAAATCTTATTATGTCTCTACATATAGGTAAATTGAGTGACTTGGAATAGAAACCCCTGCATAAATATACACTGTTATCAATCTATAATTTTAATAGTTCAAGATTCAAAGCTCTGTTCTTTTAAATTCAATTTTTAATCTTGATGTTATAATCACATAAGTGACATAGCATAAAGATATAATGTGTAACATTTATACATTAAAAACTCTAGACCATAAACCAGTGTTACATATTTTGTTAAGTTGTGTACTTGTGTACCCAAAGGTTTCCAACAATGTTCAAATCTGTAATTTTAATCAAGGACACGGTCTGTGTCATTTGGTTGTCATCTCTCGTCAGTAGCGTCACATCCCCTTTGCGCATGTGTCAGGGTTGTGGTTCCCTAAAGCTCTCATAAAGTGCACTTTTTACATCTTTGTCGTTTTTAACTATAAATTTTAACCAGATGAAGGAGTTTAGTCATCGGATGTCTGAATCTTAAGTTGTCAGCTGAGCAAACGTTAGCTGCGGCTAAGCTCCGGCCCCTGTCATGCCAAACAGTGTTGGAGAAACACTGATTTAAAATGTGAAACTGCTTTATTCAGTGTTTTTACTGGTTTAAATCACTGGGTCCGTTTGTTTTGGAGAGGAGGAGACCTTTGCGGATAATTTGGCTCCCTTTAAAAACCTCCTGAACATCTGGATGTTATATTATCAGAGAAAAAGGTCAGCACACATTGGCGGAAGATGGGCCAAGCATCATCGGAGAACCACTAATTTGAAATGTGAAACTACTTTATTCAGATTTTTTTTTTTTTTTTAAACTGGTTTTTATTGCCTGGTCCGTCTGTTTGGAGAAGAATAAAATTAAGATAAATTGGCTTCTGCTAAAAAACCTCCTGAACAATAAAGACAATGCAGGAATCCTAGCCAGGAAGAGACTCACTGCAAAGACGGCGTTACTCCATCTTTTGTTATTGCTATGATACAGAGACCCCTAGTGGCAGAGAATTATATATATTGTATGTTTACTTGCAGAACTATTGTATTACATTGCATTAAATCATACAGTTGTTGTTTTTCCAGCTAACTCAGTGTAAACAGTGTATGTAAAGTATTATACTTGTGCAAGTGAAGTAATTCTCATCATCTTAACAGGTTACAAATTGAAGAGCTGTCCAAGCCAGTCAGGCTGTCACAACAGCTGGAGAAGGCTGTCACCAGCAACTACAAACCTGTGGCCAACCACACTTACAATGTAAGAAATACATCCTGTACAGGATTGTCTCGTTTCATCAATCTTAAAATCTTGATGCATTTTGACGTGTATTCACCATGCATTTTAAAACACACAGGAATATTGTTGCTTGTTGTAACTAATTATTACAAATCATGTATTTGACGTTACTGCAAAGCATATTGTTTGTTGATGACCCTACTGATCGACTGCCTTTGTGAAGCAAATTTCTAGTCTTTCCACATTTCTGTTCATAAAATATGGAAATGAATGGAAACTAAAAGGAGGAAAACATTTAATGAAAGAGTCGTCATGACATGCAAAGACGCTGGTGTGTCTCAGTGAGGTGTAGGCCTGTATGAGTTACCTGTCCTCTGTCTGTTTACTTTTTGCTGCAGCTTGAGTACGAGCGGAAAAAGAAGGAGGAGGGCAAGAGAGCGAGAGCAGACAGACAGCAGGTGTTGGACATGTTGTTTTCCGCTTTTGAGAAGCACCAGTACTACAACATCAAAGACCTGGTGGACATCACCAAACAGCCTGTGGTAAGACTGGAGGGCAACACGGGGGCTTTGGTTATAACACTGTTTATACTGGCTGACTCCACCAGTGCTTTTTACTCATGAAAAAACAATTTAATCTGGTGTCATTTGAGTTGTTCGTCAGTCCTGGTCCAGATAAATATTTCTCCATCGCGAGAGTATAGCTGCAGTGAATGTGCCAATTTTGCTGTGTACCACAATCTACCATACAGTTTCATATTATTACAATAAAATAAATAAAAAACATTGCCTACGGTACTTAAGCTCCAGTGTCTGAAGTGTAAAGATATTATTTTATCATCTTTTCTCATGTTTTTTTTTTCTTTGCCCAGATTTACTTGAAGGAAATCTTGCGTGATATTGGCATCTACAACGTGAAGGGAACACACAAGAACACCTGGGAGCTCAAACCAGAATACCGACATTACCAAGGCGAGGAGAACACTGACGAATAGTTCCTGACTCCCCCAAGGCCAACAAACAACCTTTTCATTTGACGGAGGGCTCCCTCCCAGACCGGGCCTTGGTCGGACCACGGAGTTGTCTCCCGACTTCCTGACATCAGGTCTCAAAACACACTGGATGATGAGGTCAAGCAAAGGCTGCGTTTTACAGGGAGACATTGTTGTGGAGAAAATGTTTTATCTTTTTGATATTTTGTAGAAGACGAAGAGAAAGGGCATTTGGAAACTAACAGAGGTTTTAAGCTTAAGTGTGCACGGTCTGTTACTCATGTGGTCCTGTCACAGCTCCGGCACAGGTAACAGATAATTGAAGTAGTTGTTATATCCGTCAGACACAGGAGGTAATATTATATGAAGCAAAAGATGCATCTATAAACTCTGCTTTTAGCATTATTTTTTAATGTTCAGACATAAGTATATCTGGAGGTAAGAGGTATAATGTTAAGAGGATGTGACACAGGTAATGGCGCTCACCACTCGACTGATACGTGCTGAGGCGGTTTGTTTTTCTAGACGTTTTTTAATTTTACTTTTTCAAAATGATATGTTCTTTTTTAAAAAAAAATGCAGCTTAACAGGTTTCTGCACCATGACTCGGGAAGACAAATTCAACCTGAACTTGCATTGACGACATTTTTAGACCGGCACTATTGCTGTAATTCTGTGTGCTTCAGGTGTCCTCACATTCGCTCATCCTCACTGTAATTTTAAATTGTTTTACATTTCATTGATTTATGCAATAAATGTGTTTAAATAGAGAACTGTTTTGTTTTTTTTTTAAAAAAAAATCTGACTTTCTAATAGGACAGAATCAAGCTTAACATTTGGCAGCAGTAAACACACCAATACATCTGTTTAAAATTTGGAACCACAGTAAAAACAACCATAACAACCATTCAACATCTATTGTAGGCTTCTCCTACAGCTCATCTGGTTTTTTTCATTTGGCTTAATCCTCAGTTTGAGCCAATATAGCCCTATTAACCTGTTACTTTGTCTTGTGGCACTAAATGGCTTACTTTTTTAGCCAATTACCGTCTACAGAAATATTTGTACCAGCCGATATCTGGCCCAATTGCCACACATTTTTACATCTAATCCCAAGTATGTCACTTCAAATCTACCCATGACAATAGTTTCAGTATTCCACCGCTTTAGGACCACATTACCTAACATTATTTGATGGAGTAATTAAAATAGTCATATTGCTTATCCAAATTTTAACTGGTAACTAGTACCTCTGTACAGTATTTGAGCCTATGGCTAAATTGTGATGGCTTTAAGTGTAAACTAAAAATAGTTTGCCTCCACACCTGCATAAATTCTGTGGTTTAACATCATCCAACAAGTTTTAATTTAAATTAACAAATGATTTAGAGGTTGAGTTCAAATGTTTTTTATTTCTTTACAGACCAAATGTTATTTTCACACATAGCATGCCAATTCACACTGCATTGATTTATTACATTAACACAAATGCTGCTGTCTGATGCCAGGGGTCAGCAAGCCTAGGTCCCCAGGTGGGGGCCCAACAGTTTCCCCTTTCCGGGCAAGGTTCCACAACTCCTTTTTGGCTGATTCATATTGGGTCAGACAATGTAAATATATATCTGATCTGGAAAAACAATTCCACTTGTCCAGTACCCATCAGGTGTTTGCAGTGTCTCACTTATTACCTGCAAGAAAATTAAAAACATTAAGAAAGATGCAACACATTTTGTCACAAAGTCATCCCATGACAAGTAGCAGTGCCTGGCAAATTGCTTTTATAAGCTGCCTGCTAAATATTAATCCAATTAGTTTAGATTTTACATTTCCAGGGACTAGAACCTTAGTTTGATATGCTGATTCTGTAAATGCCCACTGTTGTGAGTGCAACCAAAGTGTGCAAGAATCCACTTATAGATTTAGTGGGTGAGACAAAATGATGAAAAATACCCAGGGTCACTAGGCATCTAGTTGTAAATCTGACCTTGGACCACGGCCAACGAGCTCAAATGTATTCCTCAATTCAATCTGTGCTGCTATTGAATGTAGCAGTCAGAAAGCGCGAGGAAGGCTCAATTTAGCATCTCTATGCAAACCCAGAAGCCAATGAAACCTGCTTCAGGTCTATCAGTGGATGCAAATTGAAATCTACCCCAACACAAGACAACATTAAAAGTGCTCACCTGCAAATGTATCAGCTTGGATCAGTTAAACAGTATCTGTTCCAGGTGCTGCTGCAACATCTTCTCTCTGGTTTTACCCCCTGAAGCTGAGACCTTGAGACTGGAAATGGAGAAAAAGGATAACATTTAGGCTCCCTATAGAATAGTCTGTAGTATGTGCACAGTTAGTTATGATAAATGGCAGCTACAAGTGAACATTAAACATTGTTTTTGACTTATCCTCCCCAATTCAATCCGAGACGCCATGGGAAAGAGGCGAGCAGAAAGCGCAGGGACATTTAATATTGCATCTGAAATATTAAAACCCAGGATATCTCACATCAGAGAGCCCAGGCTGTCAAAGATGCAGCTTGTGACTGGAGCTTAAAGGCTTGATCAGTAAGACAGATCTAAGCATGTGTCTCCACAAAGTAAACACATCTTTACATACATTTTCACAAATGACTTGCTGCAGATGGTCGCAGTCCTCTTGTTGGAGCTCCTCTCTCAGACCCATTTTCTCAAGTAATTATACTGCCATGGCAGGCTGTGGTGTTGCCACAGCACAGTCATCACTGGGACAGTCTGGCGAAGCTCAAAGACAGCCATCATCCTCCATCTGGCTCATACAGGTGTCCACCAAATGGCATAAGATCTGCTAGGAAAAAATGTGCAGAAAGGGGGTTATTTGTCATTGGTGCCAGAATAAATCATCTTATTTTGATTAAATTCAATCTGTCGACACTGTGCACTTTAAATATTAAGTTTATAGAACCATATTTGATTTTTTAAAACACATTAATTAGGCTAATAGAAAATTTGCCCCCCAAAAATCCAGAGATCCAGGGGAATATGTGGTTGTCCCGAATCTAAAATTATATACAATTCATGAATAAATTGATTCTCCTGTGTCTTTTAAATCTCAATACATCAAATTAATAACGTTATATCTGCTTTAATAGTACTGGATTGATTAATAAGCTTATGAAAACTTGAGACAAAGAAGATCTTGATATAAATTTGTGTTCAATGGATTACTGTAATTGACAAATCAACGTTTGTTTATCCTCTACATTACCTTATGTTATTGTTAATGCGGAGTTAACGTTATTTACGGTTAATGACCAGGCTAAGGTAAGGTTGCTAGCTTATGGTAACCAACTGTGCAGGCCAACATAGCACGTTGTCGACCCAACTAAAATTAGCCAAATCATTTAAAGTTCGTCTTAAAATAATAGAGTTACACTACTAAACATCAGTTGTTATGTTAAGCCACCGAAACCTTGTAACTAAGACATTTAACGTTCGTGTTAGCTACATAGGTCAAGTTAGCATTACGGTTAGGCTAGCATTAATGAAGACGTTAAGGCATTTCCGGTGCTATGCTAAAGTTCTTCGGCCTGTTGGTATGTCTTCACCATTACCCTTAAACCACTCACAAACCTAAAGTTTAACATAAAGGGACACTAGCAAGCTTGGCGTCCTGTAAGATAACATATTTCGCTAACTATTTGGTAGGCTAACATCGCAATGCTGTTTATTCTGAAACGGATTCAGACGGAAAAACAAAATGGGCCACCGGCTACTTTACACGTGTGCACAGACTGATAAAACTATAACGTTAGAATATCTTAACGCTCCGTTAGCCGTTACCTTGGTTTCACTAAACAGCATGAGAAGTAGCTAATATACTTACAGATGATCGAGCTGTTGAGGTTGTTTTGTCTTCTATATATTACTGAAGGAGGCATTTCTTCCTCTTGACTTCTTCAGTGAGCGCAGTCGAGTAAGTGGAAGGAAAGGACCGATCTTCCAGGAGCCTCCAGATTAAATAGGTTACCGGTCTACCGGTTATGACTCATTGTCGCCCCCTGTGGACAAGGAGGGAACTTTAGTTTACATTGTCGCCCCCTGTTGTTCACAGTAGGAAGTGAATCGGTTTTACAGTAATTTACTCCAATTAGTTTCCTCATAACGAACGAATTTTTAAGATTGAGATTTAATTTTGATGCAAATATATGTACATTTTGTGACATGGAAGTTGAAAGTTTATTGTGATCCAGTGCGGTCCATCTGGAGTGATATGCAATGGTGGCTGCAGTCCAGGGAGACTGTTACGTCACCCCTGACTGCAGGTTTTTGCGTTGAAAACAAGGATGTGGACTTTGCTCTTTACTTAATATTGTTCATTCATTCATTGATGTAGATACTTAAAGACTAAAACCCATTTGAACCATTAGAAGAATGAGTTGAAACTCTATAGTAGGCCAAGTCACTGAAACTTGTTAAAGACATGAACGCTCTTAAACTGTTTTCACTTATAGGCATGTTTAAATTAATTTGGGATACCCTGTTTTGTTTTGTTTTTTGTTTGTTTGTTTTTTTTAAATATTTATATATTTGTAATGTTTAGTTATTTTCTCTTGGCTCAACCTAACAGATGTTGCTTGAACTACAGGACTTGAAAATGCCCCTTGTTTGTTTGTATTTGCTAATCCCAATAAAGAATTATTGGGGAAAAAGTTTCCTCATAACGCAGTACCAAAGTAAACCGATGTTAATTTGTAGAATGTAAATAATTACGATATGGTGTGTAGTTTATTTATTCTAACAATGCTGTTTTTTTTTTTTTGTTAAAAAAAGACAACCAAACAGCCTTTTAAAGGAAAAGGCTTTTGGAGATGGAAAATTAATATCCATTAGTAGCCTAGCTTTATGTGCACAGACAGAGCCAAATAATAGGCTATCTAACGTTACAGCCCTTTTTGTAAATGTAATTTTAAAGCAGTATTATTAAATATGTCACAATCAATTTCAACCAGTATTATGGGAAGTACAGGAGTCGCCGTTTTATTATAGGCTGTCTTATCATTATTAAACTATGTCAGTATATGTTACTATTATTATGTAATTATTGTTATCTGTGGTGTTAGCAGAGTGATATAAATTATGTTGATAAAATGAAACATACCCCGTCCTGTAGGTTAGAAGAACAAACGTGTTCACTTGACTCATTAAGGGCACATCATCAAATGTGGAGATAAGGCAGACACGCACGTGCCCGACGCGCGCACCCCTGACTCTCCCTCCAACACACTGTGAGTTGACTGAGGAGGTGCTGCACTTCTTAATTGGACTCCGCCAGTTTAAATGCTCTTCAATCGGCTTCCTGTGGATTTATGCGAAGACATGCAGGCATCAAAGGAGACTTAGAAGCAGGTAACTCGAGGCGTGATTTTTATGACATCATTTGTTATGTGTGACCACCCTCATGTGCACCAGTGATTAATGCAAAGAAATTACTCATCGATAAAGACTAAGTAGTTTTCATAGCCTCGAAAACTACCAATTAATTCTTCTTCTCCTTCTGCGGTTGAATTAAGAACTAACTGTGGGGGTAATGTTGCCTGAAATAATGTGCTCCTAATTCAAATTAACATCTTGCTTAATCTTCCACAGGCGGCAGACAGTGAAGCAACAGCCCAGCTATGTTCAGAGCAGTGTTTGGAAACAAGAGAGAGGGAGGAGGAAAGCGAGGAGAGAAAAAGAACCAGAGACATGCAGGTAAGAGCAAAATCACTGAGACTACCTGTGTGACAAAACTGTGGCATGCCAGCTCAATAATAAGCTGCTTTGGGCTTGTATCTTATTGATATTTAATCACTGGTCTTATCATGTGGAATATGCTTTTTCAATCACAACTCTGTATAGGAGGAGATTTACCCCGTGTTGTACACACTTTAGGTCTTGTATTATTTGATGGCAATATGCAAGTTCTCTTCTCTTGGGTGATTTAAGTAGAGCCATTTCAATTAGCCTAATTCATGAGTGTGTTCTGTCCTTCACACAGTGTCCCGCTGCTTGCATTTAAAGTGTGTCAGGAGAAGTTAGAGTGGGTTAGGAAAACATCCTGACCTACTAAAACACACTGAATTTCAACTTTAAGTTTAAACTGAATGGGACACAGCTGCATACTTGTAATAAATGTGTTGCAAACAACTGAACACTTTGCAGCACTGTCAGGTAAATTTGAGCTGAAAAAGGGTGCTGAACAACTGGAACATTTTGCTGTTGAAATGAAGCTAAGGTGTGTATGTTTTTCACAGGGAGAACTTGTCAACTCGCCGCAGTTCAGAGGAGATTTCAGACTGCGCAGTGGAGATAGATGAACATAAGTAGAGCTTGGTATTAGAGCAACCATGTTGCCCATTAATATTTGATAATGTGCTGCTCTGGGTACCAAGAACAGAGAGGAAGATAGAGAACTGTGTCAGTCTCATTAAAAATGATATAGTATGTTTACAGTACATTGGGATGTCTCTGATCATTTGCGGAGAGATATCACTTCTCCTCAAAAGCCCATCATGAAAAGGTTTCAAAGCAATGATCCTTCTACACTTTTAGGAATTATGCAACAGCATATCGTGAATTTTTGATACTAGGTAGTGGGCCTCTTAAGTTCTTGTTTTGCTCACAGTAATAACAGCAAGAACAGACTCATTTAAGGTAAGAGAAAAACGAATGGCTGAGTTATACCACAGGGAAAAAGGCTGCAATCTGGTGTAAGTGGCAATAAGGCCGCTGTAATCTCCTGGCTTTGCGAGTTCTCATGCATAATGTTTATTTGACGACACAGGATGAGGCTCAGTGGATGCAATGAGAGTGGACATGAAAATGATTTAAATACTGAATTGAAATATAATAAGTGTAGCCTCTTTACTTAGTCTGATCCCATTCCTTTAAATAGATGTTCTGGCATCGCCAACTTTCCATTACCTCATTCAGCAATATGCCTCCAAGACAAGATATGTTCGCTCTGTCACAGCCTTATGTGAGACATAATTTAAACTGCTCTCTCTGATGTTAAATCTGCTGCACAGACACACTTCTGCCTTTTTAACTTAAGCTTTCTGACTGATGTTTCTTCAACCGTAACATCGGCCCATCTCTTTTTTTTTTCCTCAACACACTCTAATCTTTTCCATGTAGGTGGTGAGGTGTACACTCACAGCACCTTGCAGAGGGGTAGTGGCGGGCGTGCCACACACTACCAGGACCATGACAGAGGCTGCACTGAAAGTCCGGTAAAACAGAGGAGACTGACCAAGGGCGCGTCCATTTCTCTACCATCCTCCCCTCTTCTCCCTCGTCAGGCTGACATAGCTCCCTCCCAGTCGTGTATCAAGTTCACAGGTGGGTTAAACTGTAATAGTAGTAATTAGAATAATAATAAAAAAAGCACAGTCTCATTATAAACAACTAAGAATGACAAGAGGCAGTGCATCAGGGGATGCTTTCATGGCTTTGCCTTGATTAGCAGAGAGCTTCTGTGCGTTCAGCTGTTCCATACATGTGACAGCAAATGCAAGAGCGTACAGACTGTGCCCCCAGGGCCCAAAAACATATGACAGATTGTCAGAGTAAATGATTGAACAAGATCACTTAAGGCAAGGAACTCCAATTAGGTAGGTCGATTTTGGGATATTCTATTAGCTTTGATTTATTCTTTTTTTTTTGTATAAGATTTGTTTTGGCATTTTCATGCTTTTATTTGAAGTGACAGAGAAATATGAAAGGGGAGACAGAGGGGAGGACATGCAGCAAAGGGCCCTACTAGGCCACACTCAAACCTAGGCCACTGTGGTAAGAGCTACAGAGGCACCCCAGGATTTTTACTTATTGAAATGTTCCATAAAGTCACAATCAAAGACAACACTTTCGACAAAATAAATAAAATCTTAAACTGAAAACAACACATGTATCACGTGTAGCCTACTAGATGTAGCCATGCAAGTGTGCAATGATGACTTTTACCTACCTGTGAGGTGGCTTGAGGTCTGAAATGTACAGTATGCCATGCATTCCTTGTTTGAATCCTCCAGGAAACCATTGTCACATGAATTTTCCTCTTTTATTTATTCCCAAGTTTCATGTCGAAGTCAGAATGACAGAATAAAAAAAACAATTGTCTGCACAGTGGGGGTACTGCACAAATATCCAAGTGAAATAACAGTAAGCAAAACACAATCTTGAGTGGAGGAATTTCTGATTTCATTTTGGTAGCGTCCTCGACACAAAAAATGTCGAATATAGCATATTCTGTGATATATGTAGTGTCTTGTCGTTTGATACATCTATGGGGGCCTTAGTATTTCATTATTAATGTGTCAAAACAGTAAAAATCAAAAGATGCAATGCCCTGTTTAACCAACTTTTGTAACTATTAAACAAATATAGTGTGTGCATGAGGAACAGAGAGGTCATGGGTCCTTAAAGGTTTTAAGAACATATTTGCTAATAAAAGGCCTTAGAAAGTATTAAATCGGATGGTTTGGATGGACCTTAAAAGTTTTTTAGTCTCGCCAATGTGAGCATTTCTGGTGTTGGTGCTTTGGAAAACAAAATTTAAGAGGAGAGACACATTTCTAGTGAAACACAACTCCTGTATGAGTGCAATGCCCCTATCTTCACCTCCTCGACGCAATAAGATCACACAGTGAGTCTGCATCATTAAACTAAGGCCTTGCAGGCCAGCTTGCTTGTTATTTTTTTCTGTGCAAAGCATCAAGCACAGACAGGATCACCAGTTTCATTTTTCCTTACTGCTCATTTTAAGCTGACATCCGTTTGTTGACTCAGAAAGAGTGTATTTTCACTTTTGTTGTGTCTTTCCATTGCAAGTTTGGTTTTAAAATCATTTAAAGTGGTATTTAAAAGTCTTAAATTGAAGTTGTTTATACCTATAGACACCCTGGTGAAGGAAATATGATTAATGATAATGTTATTTTAAAATGTAATTACCTTAAAAAAAAAAAG